TATTAAATTTGTCTGTTATGTCATCATTCATAATTATCCTTGCTGATTGCTTGGTATAGATTTCTGCTATAATTTTCCCAAATTTTTCCCCAATTTGCATATTTTGTAGTTGTTCAATCATAAATTTCCAATTTTGGTTATCGAAGGCCTTTTGGGCGTGAAGAAAAACCAATGCTGCCTGCTTCTCCGGGTGTGATTCATAATATTCTAAAGCATTAAGTATTATTCTCATGTTGTTCTTTATTTGGTGTCCCGGCAGAAATCCATTTTGGTCTGGGTGTATATATGTATTTAATACTAATTTAATCCTTTCTGCCAAGATTGCTGCAAATATTTTGTAGTCGGCATTCAATAACGAAATAGGTCTATAGTTTTGTATTAACTGGAGATCTGTGTCTTCTTTTGGAATGATTGTTATTATGGCTTCTGTCCATGAATTTGGTATTTTGGCTTTCTCCATAGCTTCATTATATAATCGCAACATATTCTCTCCCAATACTTCTTGCATTGTTTTATATATTTCTACCGGTAGCCCGTCGGGTCCCGGTGTTTTATTGTTTTTTTGCTTTTTCAGTACTTCATCTAGTTCTGGTTTGGTTATTGGCCTATTGAGAGTGATTCTTTGTTCTTCTGTGATTTTTGGCATTCCTGATTTCCCTATGTACTGTTTTATTTTGTCTTCCTCTATTTTCCCCTGATTATATAGGTTCGCATAAAATTTCTTAATAATTTCTTTTTTGGCCTCTTTACTATGTTGAATTTCTCCTTTATCATCTTTCAATTGGTATATCATTCTTTTTTTCTGTTCTTTTTTCAGTTTATAGGCTAGCCATCTGCTCGTTTTATTTGCGTGTTTGAAATAGTTTTGTTTCGCCATTTTTATTTTTTGGGCTAGTTCTATTTGGTTTATCAAATTCAATTTATGCTTAATCATTTCCCATTCTTCTCTTATTGTTTTGTTCTGGGGTTTTTCCTGGAGTTTTTGTTCTATTTGTTTTAGGTCTTTCTCTAAATTATCTAATTGTTTTTTCTTCTCTTTATTCTTTTTCCTCGTATATGCTATTACTAGGCCCCTTATATATGCTTTTAAAGTATCCCATGTGTTTTGTAAAGAGGTTTCCTCTATTTTATTTATCTGGAAGAATATTTTTACTTCCTTTTCTAACATCAAATTAAATTCTTTTTCTTTACATAATCTTTGGTTCATTGTCCATCTCTTACGTCTTCTTTCCCCTTTCCAATTTATGAATAGTGGATTGTGGTCTGCCCATTGGTTTGTGCCTATCTCAATTTTTTCTACTTCTATTTTGATATTTGGGGTCATCCATGCCATGTCCAGTCTTGACCAGGAGTTATGCGGATGGGAGTAAAAGGTGTATTGGGCCTCTTCTTCATGTGTTTCCCTCCATACGTCTGCCAAGTTTAGTTCTTCAGCCATAGTAAAAAATTCTTTTGGAAGTATTTCTTTTTTCTTTTGTTTTTTTTCCCAGTTTTGTAGTCTTTCTTTGCATTTACTATTGCATTATAATCCCCTATTACACAAATATCATCATATTCTAATTCTGCTAATTTTATATGTAGGTCTTTAAAAAAAACCTGTAGTTTTTGGTTAGGTGCATAAATCCCTACAATTAACATTTTCCTCTTTCCTATTTCTAATTCAACCATCACCACTCTACCTTGCTCATCGGTATAGACTAGTTTAGATTGTATTTTTTCTTTTACGTAAATCACTACTCCTTTTTTCTTTTTTTGGGCCAGAGATAAATATAGTTTTCCTAATTTGGGGTTTTCTAGGATTTTTTGATAATCTTTTTGAATGTGTACTTCTTGCAGACATATCACATCTGCTTCTAATTTTCGTAATTTTGTGAAAATTTGATTCCTTTTCTTTGGGGCATTTAAGCCATTAATGTTTACCGAAAAGAGTTTGATCTGTTCATCCATTGCCTATTGTATCTGTTTTTTTGTGTTTCTTGTTTCCATCCGTTCTCTAGGTTTTGCACCTTCTCTCTGTTCTCTCTCTTTTTCTTGCCTCTGTCTTATTTCTTTTTCTTCATTTGTTTCTATTGGTTCTTCTTCTTGACTTTTACTATCTGTTTCCTCCTTACTTTCCTGTTCTACTTCTAGTCTAAAATGTGTGTTATGAAATTCTCTTGCCTTTTCTAGAGTGTCTATTTTATATTTTTTGTCTTCCCACGTAATTAAGATCCCCTTTATTGGCAGCCATCTATACATTATCTTATATTTGATCAATAGTTGTGTTAAAAACTGATATTGTTGTCATAGATTTCTTACTCTTCGGGGTATCTGTTTTAAAATTATAATTTCTTTTTCATTATAGATCACCGTTTCTTCTCTAGATTTCTTATAGGCTTCATCTCGGATTGATTTTTTTAAAAATTTAACATGGACTTCTCTCGCCAATCTGTGTCTTCTTATATAATTTGTTTGTACACGATAAGTTTCTTCCAATTGTCCTTTTATTTCTTCTGGCTCTTTTTGTATCATTCCTGCAATAATCTCCACCATCTTTCCTTCTAAATCCTCATTTTTTTCTTCTGGAACATTCTGAAAACGCAAGAAGTATGAGGCCTTTTCCATTTCGAGCATGGCCAAGGAATCTGACATTTCTTTGTTTAGTTGTAAGGTTTTTTGTTCCATTGCTTCTACTTTTAATTCCACGTGATCTATTTTTGTTTCCGTTTTCCTAATTCTCTGTTCCTTTTCTGCTATAGAATTTTGAATGCCCCCAATTTTATCCTTCATGGTCTTGATATCTTCCTTAACTTCTCCTAATTCATTTCTAATCTCTGCATGGAACGTTCTCATTTCTTCCTGATTTTCAGCTATTTTTTCTTGTGTTTGAAACAGTGTTTCCTGGATCTTTTGAAACATATCTTGTATTACATTAGGTGCCATTTCCAGTTTTTCTTTTTCTTTTTCTTTCCCCATCATGCTATCTATTGTTTTTTGTTGTGAGGAGGAAGGAGTCATTACTAACGTATTGGTTGTAGGTTTTTTCCCTGTCTTTGTTATGGTGGATGTTGTAGACATTTTTAATATTCGTGTAAAGCTTTCCAACCTTAACATCAATTATTAAGTTATTCCTTAATATCTCTTTTCCCCTCCAAATACTACTTATACACCGCACAACTTATATATAGTTATATTATATTATATTGCCAGTTATCCCAATTGAGCAATTAATTCTTATTCACAGTATAAATCTATCTACTTATCAATCAAGATTTTAATTTAATTTTCTTAATTTTCTAATTAGTAATCTTTCCAATTACCCCCTTTTTCAATCAGTCTATCTCAGAGATACAGTCAACTCATCTGTTATTTTGTATAAAAATCAGTCTTTCACTTTAACAATAATTCCTTGTCTAACTACAATTTCACAATACAATTTATAGCTATAAAAATATTGTCAACTTATATATATATATATATATATATATTTAAATTTGATTTATATGCCGCCCTTCTCCGGAGACTCAGGGCGGCTTACAATGTGCTCAGCAATAGCCTTCATCCTTTTATACAAAGTCAGCTTATTGCCCCCACAACTGGGTCCTCAATTTACCTACCTTAGAAAGGATGGAAGGCTGAGTCAACCTTGAGCCTTGGCGAGATTCGAACCTGCAGTAATTGCAGGCAGCTGGTCTTAATAACCAGCTTAATAATAGGGTGCCTTAGACCACTGTACTACCAAGGCTCTTTATTTCTTCCAATATTTCTTTCAAATATTAAACTTATTAATTAATTAAACAGTTCAAAATTAATAATTCACTTAATTTTTATTTTCTTTAGTCCTTATTGTCTTCTTGCTTTACCTCTCTCAATCTGTTCTTTCACAGTCAAAAAAAACGCAATCTGTGTCCATCTCAGTCAGTTTTTTTTTTTTTAATTCTTCTCCCAGTAATCGGATCTCTGCATTCAGTTTTCAAATCTTTTTTTTTTTAACTTAAGTTCTTATTGTCCAAAGTTATTTGTAAATCCAAAGTTCGAAATCCAGACAGGTCTTCTGTATCCGTGAAATTCACCACTTAGTCCAGTATTTCAGTCTCTGCACTAAGTTTTCCGATGTTTGGGGTTTGAATCAGTTATAATTCCCAGGTTGAAACGGCTTATCTATATCCACAGAGTCCACAGGCTGCTCCCTTTGCTCAGCTGTAAAAGTCCGCACTCACACCGCTTTGAGCGCTATTTCTCCTTTTCTTATGTTTGCTTAGTCATTCTATGGGATTCTCTCTTCCACGCTGTAGTTGTTTCCCCTTTTTTCCTTTTCCTCTTGTATCGCCGCTGTTGTAACTCACTTGTCTTCTTCTGATTCGATCATGCGTCCCGTTTGCTGCCTCTATTGTAGGTGATCTATCTGACAGTCACTCGGATTTGCTTCCACTTTTTGCTTCGATCTAGGCGGGCGCCGTCACTCCTGTCCGCCGATAAGGCCGACTTCTTCTCCACCAATTTAAGAGGTTGATCGCTCGACCTCCCTGATGACAGCGCAACACCAGGGGGCTTCGCGAATTCCTCTTTCGTTTCCCGATCCCTCCAAGTTCGGGAATGCCCTTAAAGAGCAATTAATGAGGAAATTTGGGTTTCAGAGATGGAGCCTCCGTTTCCTCACCCATTCGTGATGACGTCACCGCCGGAAGTCCGGAATTCAAACTATTTTAATGGTTTTTGCCCCATCTCCCAAAGAGCTTCTTGTAAATTTTCCTTAGCTGGTGTATCATCCCAATGAATCACATCATTGTAGTCGCATGTACGTAAGGCAGTTTACTGGCCAGATGAACTACATTTGGACTACCTGTCCAAAGGATTGGGTTTCTGTACTATTTCATCAGCTTTTTGTCAAATAGCTTGTAGAACTTGTTCTTTGTGAGGAAAATATTGATCAGTTGCATCATATTCCCCCAGGAAGACAGAGAGATAGGGAGACAGATATTCAGTAATAATGACTACCTTTACTTATTTTTCTTCCTCAGAATGGAATCTACTGAAAAATGTGAAGTTGTAATTCAACATTTTAATGGAAAATACCTGAAAACACTGCCAGGTGTGCCAGGTAAGCATTGTCTTCCATTGTTCATTCAATCAAACATCAGTAAAAGGAGGAAATTCTGGGGCTGTAAGGTCCTAAAGAATTCATTTCTATTTCCATATATAGTTGGGAGTTATTGCTTGTTTTATCCAAAACTCAGGGAAATTTGTCACATGTTTAGTTTAGCAATTTGCATGCATTCCTCAGGTAAAGTATTGGTGATTTAAGTATTTAATAACTGATGTGAATTTTATGAATTTACATGTAGTATGCATGTATTTTCTATATATTAATCAATGAGGTAAATGGTTATATAGAACAGACATCTATTGGTTGCCAAACCTGAAGGCATTCTCAAAATGTTTTGATTTTAAAAATTAAACCAAAAACTGGAATAACTTTTACATATAATTTATTAGTTCAAACATTGAATGTTTAATGCAATTGTAATTAATAGTGACAGGCAAAAAAAAAAAAAAAAAAAAAGCTATAGCATCAATAGAAAATAATTAATGATTATTCAGTGGAAAAAATAGACTTACATTTTTATAAGTAATTACACCTAATATTTGGATCTCTTTTCTTTCTTTTTTTTCTGCTAATTAATTTTCTTTTTGCTTTTTGTCATTTTAGTTTATGTTAAATCAAAATACTTGTACAATATTAGCTGATACTAGTTTATTGTATTCAGGAAACCTGCCTCCTGAATACTTAATTTGTTTTGATGTAACTTTTTTTTAAAATTTGATTTAATATGCAGAAAAAATGGGGAGAGGAAAGATACAAGAAAAACATTAAAGAAAGAGAAAAAAGACAAAAATGTATACATAAAAAGGCAGTTCCAGTTTTAAACAAAGTTTTTTGTTATTGCTGTTCATTAAATTTATATGTTACCCATCTCTCCAATAAAATGATTCTTGGGGGTTACAGTTGATAAAAAGATAACTAGAAAAACAGTTAAAACTTTAAAACAATGCATTAATAAAACTATGCAAAAATACCAGGAACCAATAGAAGATAGTATCCCATCAACAATCTCCAATGGTGATGGTGAAAAAACTATTTTAACAGGGCAGTATTAAAACTTAATCAGATGGAGTCTGAATCTAAAAAAACCTAGTCTCTTTCCAAAAAATATTTCCAACCCCTTAATTAAAATTTTAAATTCAAGAAAGATGAGAATGAAAAGTTGCATTAATAACAACAACAAAAAAAATACTGTCTAATTGACATTAAGACTTACTGGTTCAAATTTTCATTGCAATAACTTTATATGGAATATTAAACCTCCTTTGTTTTTGGGAAGAACAATGGTGAATAGCAAAGATACAGCTGAGCAATAGCAATAATATAGGCAGAAAATATTAAGGAAATTTTATTAAAGATGTTAAATATTTTAATAAACAAGAAAACAAGCTAAGTCTGAAGGATTCCTCTTATGAAAAAAATATGGTATATAAATATATGTATTGGGGAATATTTCAAGTAGGAATATTTGATTAATTGATTAATTATATCCAAGTCATCTTGCTGCCTGAGGCAATTCTGGGCAGCTGAATATGCCTGAAGCAGGGGTGAAATCCTACCGGTTTGGACCAGATTGGGTGAACCATTAGGGATGATTGCCATTGGTTCGCTGAAACAGTAGCAATCATCCCTGGTGGCCCTGCCCATGGCTGCCTGGTCACCCAGTCACACATGCTTTGAGATTCCTAACTGCAATGGACAGCAACAAAGCTAGTTTCTTCTTCCTCCTGCGGGTGAGAGAGCTTCTTTGGCTGGAGAGCTGCCTGTCAGAAGCCCTTTCTCAGCCGTGCTTCCTTACTAGCCTCTCGAGTCCCCTTTACTTTTCCACCCATTTCCAGTAGCGCCCCTTCCCACCCCAGATGCAGAGCAGGCTGCTCCTTTCACTCAGCCCAGCTATGGCTGCTGTCTTCCCACCTCCTCCTCCACTGGGTTCCCACCCTCCCCACTTGCTCTGATCCAGCAGCCACCCTGCAGTCGAAAGGGGGCTCGGAAGAGTCAGGTGCACCACTCTCACAGCCACAACTAGGACCGCTGCTGCTGAGTCACGTTACAGGACCCGAGCCCAGCCTGGCTCGCGGCTGCAGGTTGGCACAGCAAGGGAAGAGTGGGGCAGGCCCCAGCAGCTCCCGCTGAGGTCCACCATCCAGGTCACCCCAAGCTGAATCTGCCAAACTGGCAGCCCCTCCCCACAACCATAAATGGTTGAATTCTGGGGAGGAAACTTGCACAGTATTGATCCAATGCAGAAACTCCAGGAGCTCTTCCACCCCGTCAAGTCACTCCCTGCCCCTGCTGGAATTTGGAAGTTCCCAGGATGGTAAAAAGAAGCGCCCCGCCTGGACCTGGACATTCAGCTCAGAAACTGAAGCTGCAACCCACCCAAACCTCTGGCAGCTTTGATGAGTGGTAGCAGGCACTGACCCCCAAAAGCACGCTTCCTTCCTCGCACATGTTCACATGTGGTTCTTAGCCACAGGAGCATTCCAGTCACATCCCACTGTGTGCTCCAGGAATCCTCCCCGGAGGCCACGGCTTGCCTTGCCTGCCGTCCCTTAGGCAACGCACTTCCCTTTTTGGCTTAAACAGGGCCACGAGCTCCACCGCGTCACTGCCGTTTGCTTTCTTCCTTCTACTGCCACAAAACAAAAGCGAACAGTGACCTTCGGGAGGGCAGGCAGATGTCTGCAGCCAGGTGGGGAGAGAGGGCTGCAGCCCCTTCCAAGCTCAGCGCACAGAGGTGGCAGGCAAAGCAGCCCCAGCACCTGTTGCTTGGGAGGTGCAGCGATCGCTCAGCCAAGGTGGCTTCGGCGGGGGCTGCATTGGCCTCTCCACCCATGCCATATCCCATTCCGGCCAACTGTGCAACTACAAGTGCGGTGACCTGGTCTTCACCAAGATGAAGGGCTACCCGCACTGGCCTGCTCAGTTAAGCACTGCCACCCAGGCCGAAGGGAAAGTGCTACAGGCTCCGCAGTGGCACAGCCAGGCCTGGCCCTCTCCCCATGTAGGGGCTGCTGCCCAGCTGGCCACCAGTGGCTTCCACGTCTGTCGCTCCACTTCTTTGCCAGTGAGAAGCAGCACTGCGGCTGAGCCTCCTTCCCCCAGAGCGCCAGACTCCGTGGGCCGAGTTCCTGGAGTGGCGCCGGTGGTCAGGCGGGCCGATCTGCAAAGAGAGCAGGCAGGGTGAGAATCCAGTGGGTTGCTTTGGAGCCCCAAGCCCCATGGAGCCAGCACAGGAGGCACGGATGTAAGGCGGCCTTTTCTGCAGCATCCCCCTCCCCTCTTTGGATCACCCTGCAGGGGGGGGGGGGCTCTGCCTTTGCAGAAGTAGGGCGGGAGGTTTGTATGGAGGATTGGTGGGGGGAATGCGCAGCCCTCTGGGATGGAGAGCGGGGCAAGAGAAGGCTCCAAAGTTCGCTTGGGCAGTCAAGCCAGAGGGAAACTCAAAGCGTTGGGGGCTTCAGAATGTGCAGCTTCTGGCTCTTAACAGTGAGTGACGTCAAGTTGGCCATGCCCACCCGTTCACATAACCACCAAACCGCGCCCACCAAGCCATGCCCACAGAACCGGTAGCAAAAAATTTTATATTTCACCACTGGTCTGAAGGGGAATTTTTGGAAAAGGGATTCTGAAAAAACCTCAGAATCTGCTTAATTGCAAAATCAGATTAAACAGAAGGAAATTTACTTCAATATTGTTTTCTCACTGAGAAAATCATGCACATTCCAGAGTGAATTTCAGTTATCAGTTAAATACCATGAGGATAAGATTAACATTAAATGTAGTTTCTGATACATATTCAGAGATGAAAAAATAAAGAAAATGAAGTTCAGTTTTTGCCTCTAGGATATTTTCAATAATTGTATCTTTAAACTAAACCACAGGCAAACTTGTAAACTTTTTAAGTAAATTCCATGTCCATTCTTGAAGCTATTCACTATCCACAAGTCTTCTAGTGGAAATTTTGTACCTATGATTAGAAATACAGTAAGTGCTATCTAAACCATTATAGTACTTTTCCGTTTTGCCAGGGGAGGCTGTTTTAAAGCTCCAGTGCTATATAGGATGAATTTTCAAAGGGTTGCTATTGCTTATATTTATTATGTTCGGGGGGGAGGGGAAATCACATGGATATTTCTTTCTCAAGAGAACTTTCAGGACACATAATCTGTTTCACTTTCCAAGGGTTAATTTTAGATTTCATATTTTAAGAATATTTTGTAGCATGCTCCTGATGTAGAAAATTGAATTAAAAATAGCATTGTATAATCACACCAGTGCAAAATAGAGATAATCTTATAAATAGTAGCCATATATTATTTCTTCACAAAAGTAGCATAACTTCAACTAACAATTCCAGTTTTGTTTTGAAATCTGAGGGTGCAAATCTTTGGGCCCTGAAAGGGTGTCTCAAGGGCTACATGAATTTTGGATTCCCTCTCCCCACCGTCAAGCTGAAAAGGGCACTCTACCTAAACTCCAAAATTGAAAAGCAGAAAGATAAGAAAAAAGATGGCTCATCTATAGAATTCAAAGCAAAAGTGTCAAATCTGAAATATGGCAGGCATACATTCTGCCCCACCCCCACCCCATTCTTATATAAGTATATATAACATTCAGGCTTTGAGCACAACATTGCACTTGTCATCTTGCATATTTTGATATAACCCACCTCAAAGTTTTCTTTGATTCTTCCATGTGGGAATTTGTATCCTGCCTGGAATTGTCGTCATTTGATTGCATTCTTTTCTGTGAAGTTTGTTTTGTTTGCTTTAAAGTATCACATCTCTTCTGCCTTGTTAGCAAGAGGCAAGCAGGGCATTGGATATTTTCAATATCAGTCTTTACTACTCATGTAGATAGGATTGATGCTCTTGTTATTTATCTCACTCATCCTTAGGACAAAAAATATATCTCTTCAACTTCCTTGCATAATTACAGTGTCACTGAATGAGAAATAAAATGTGAACTATTCTCCACTAATATGATAGGCAAAA